GAGTGTAAGGAGAGTAAGTGTGAAAAGGCAGGCGCTTTCCCAATTTTAAAACAGAGAGGGTGTAACCATGTGTAATGTGAGCCTAGATTTTGATTGTAGGGATCATGAAATCAAATCCCTCCTTAATCCTTACTGGGAAACATTGAGGTGAATTAGCCAGCCTGTTTTTGCTAACTTGTTAAAATCTTTTTGAAAAAGAAATGTGTTTTAGTGTCATCAAAAATATCTCCCTACTTTACCCCAGAGTCTAAGAGAGCACTGGACCATTGTGCAGATTGGTCTCAATGCAATGAAAAATGAAAGGAGGAGAATAGATAAAACCAGATATATTATTCCTGGAAAAAACACAGTGCTTTCCTATATGAAATGCTTTCCAGCACTGCCATTTTTAAGCTAGATGCTTAGTCATTATTAATGACGGTATATTTCTTTAAAGCTGCTATATTTTGGGAATAACTGGAAATGAAACTTGCTTTTTTTTCCACCCATAAGGTTAGTTAAAATAATATCCAGTTTTCTGTGTGCATTGCAGTCACTATGCATGTACCAGTTGAAGTATTTTTGGAATAAATTGGAAAGTTTATTCCAGTTATTTCATTTATAGCAAAGTATTAGCTTGAACTTGAGAAGTGCTCCCTGTTTACATCATTCAGCTGTGCTCTGCAGTGGTTGGAGGCTCTTGATACTACTGCTACCTTACAAAAATAAGGTCATGAAATCACCAAGGCTTTTTTTTCTTCCCCCCCACCCCAAAACCACCTTAATTTTGTTCCTTGTCAATGTGTCCATACATCCCCCACATCTGCACACAAATATCTTTGAGGTTTAATTATTTCTTTAAAAATAGTTGAAGTATTTAAGGAGGAGCACCTTATAAATAATGGAGAACATCTTGTTCATTTTTGCCATTACTCAGATAGAGGCAAGCAGCTGGTATGATGGTGGGGTTTTCCTGGTGTGATTATATTGAGTTCCAGGGCAAGACCTTTCATCAGTTGGTGTGAAGTACCTAAACAGCTGGAGATTAAGTAGTAAAGCATGTTTTTTTTTAGTAAGTAAACTAATAAAGTAAGCTTGTGTGAAGCAACAGGAGCAGAAAGTGAGTTTTCCAAGATGGAGCAAAATAATTTTCTAGAAATTCTGCCTCCATGAATTCCAGGATTTTCTATTGCTGGGATCCACATTCATCCTGCCTAAATTCAGACACTCATCAGATTCAGTCAAAGTGAAAAGTGGCCAGATTAATCTTTTGGATGTGCATCTTGGCCTTGCGCGCAGGGCAGACTTTCCCTTAGGCTCTCAGTTAAAGTTCAGTGGGATGAGCACTGACCAAAGAGTCTCACGCAGCAAATCCTCAAATCTGTCTTCCATGGTCACTCTGGAAATTTGCCTTTTCAGATGAGGTCCTTCTCCATAGGGAGAAGGAGGCTCTAAAACACTTTTACAGGTTTAGGACTTATAGAGCACTTTAAAAGCTTTATTTCCTTGTTCCTCGTGCCCACAAAGCCTCAAGTCTATCCCTAGCTGCAATCGCTAAATCAGAAATATCTATTGTTACTGAAAGGGAGGTTGCATATATTGTTGACTTGCTCCTTTTTATAAGCGGTTGATCACTTTTGCTGTGCTCCAGGGAAGCTATGTGAGAAAGCTTTTGTGCTAATTTGTGAATAACAGCAGGGATAAATGGTGTTGCTCTAGCTTGTCAAGTATTTGTTCTTTTCTTTCCATCCACTGTTTGAGTTCTCGATCTTAATGAAGATATTATTTAATTCATGCATTTCTGAGCCTTAACCTTGGACAGATACATAATAGGCTTGTATTTAGGCACTACCAGGGTGCTTTAAGCAAGCTGTTTTTCTTTGAAGCTAAGAGTGACTAAGTCTGGGAAGTTCTCTGTTCTTCCTCATCTCCTCCTGGTACATAATAGACTTCACAAGGGATATTGAGACACACTGATAAGCCTTTGAAGTTATTACCTACCAAGGTTTTGCTCTTTCTGAGTGCTGAACATTGAATTACTGACGGCTGTTAGAAGCAGTGAGAAAGGATTCACAAAACCAACAGAGCCTTGCCTATAATTTCTGCAGAAAAAGAGCTGAATTTAATGAATAAATCGTGTTGCTGGGGAGATTTTGATTCTGTTCCCTCCCCTGTCACCAGTTTGCCTTGTGATTTGTGGTAGCGTTTTCAGTTATGCCAGTCACATGAGTTCAAAACACATGAGTCAGACTCCACCCAAATCATGAGCCTGGCTTCCAGATCCAGGAGCTTTGAACAGGGATCATACAGTACTTTTTCTTTAGTTTATCTTTTGTTTCTGGAATTTCCTCTGTCTATTCCCAATGTGTCTCTAGCAATTAATGTTTCCCACTCTTTTGGAAGTGTTGGAAAGATATTTTGACCATTTGGGGCTATTGGAGGCCTCGTTTGATCTACACGATTAATTTTATGTTTGATCTCCAAGTGAATCTTATTTCTTTCAAACCGCACATCTTTCTCCTTTCTCCAGTGACTTCTGCGTCCCTTAGCCTCACACGACCCGTCACTTCTGTTTCTTCCTTGCCATTCAGCTGTTCTGTCCTCCTTTTAGTCCTCTCTGATCTTGAGAGGGTTTTTCATCATTGCCTTGTAGGAGGAGGAGTATAAAAAGATGCGGATTTTGGTAACACTTAACCTTTGTACGACAATATATAATTGAAGAGAGCAGGGAAATGGTCTCCTTGAGTCTCTTTCCTGAAAAAGATGAAATTATTACTTGCAGCACAAGAATTGAGTGATGAGGACAGGCGGGAGACTGCCTCCATGCGAGATGGAGACCTGCAGAAGGGCTGAAGCTCTGCATGTTGTTGTGAGACAAGACCCCTTTGCTCACAAGGTATTTGCAGGACTTGGTGAACCAGGGTTTTACACTCACTTGGAAAAGAGTTAGATGAAGAGTCAGAGTCAATGCATTTATAGGCCAAAGTAAATCCAGATAACGTAAGATGAGAATCAGCCCTTCTGTCTGCACTTCTTTGCCCTCTAATTTAGTCATTGATATGATTTTCATCAAATTTTAGGTTTGTAATATATTGTTTGTAGACTCAGTTATCCAACTCCATTATGGAGTATATGATTATGACTGAGACGGTGAAAAAGCCAAGGGGAAATTTGTTGTTGTATCACAGTTTTCTCCTATAGCATTTGCCTCTTTCCAGGAAGGGTAAGAAGTTAAAAGTCCTTGGCAATGGCTTAACAAACCAAAGCCAAATCAACAAATGTGACTTTGCAGTAATTATTGCATGCAATACAGTGGTGCCTCGTATTCCCATGGTAACATTGTAATTGTTTTGCCATGAAATTTGCAGAATAGATCTAACTAATTAATTAATGGAATTTTGCTGAACTAGGCTACTCGCACTTTTGGCAGATGGGAAAATGCATCTTTTCTTGCTCTTTCTCATGCCATACCATTCTTTCACCCACATTGTTTGCTGATTATTCTATATGCTGTGTGCCAGGCATATTGCAGGTCCATAATTTGAGGTGAAACTTCAGCCAAACTGTACCCCCATAACCAAATACCTCAGGAGTCTGAGTGTTTGAAACCAAATCTGAATCCAGAGAAAAACTTTTTATATAACCCTAAACTTTATGATGTGTTGTCTCCAAGCCTTGAATCCACACTCTCTCCATATTTTGGTGGATAGGAAATTTGGAATTTGTTTTGAAACCCAGAATCATCAAAAGTTGTGTTCAAGACATGAGAAAGATTCATGATGCCTACCAGAAAATATTTCAGCTAAACATTTCATGTGCAAGGCCTGAATTTGTAGCAACTGGACACATCTCAAAATGTTTCTAGTTGTGCTGTGAATGTTTCACAGAACTGCAATAATTAGAAGTGATTCCTTTAAGACAGAGAAATGCTACCTCACATTTTGAGTATTAATAAGATAAAATTCATGAGAACAGAGTAAGATAATATTTTCTCTAAAGGAAAAGGGCATGTATTTGCCTAGCTCTTTCATAAGCCATTTTTGGACACACACTGTGTGCATAAAATACAGTTATGCAACCCGTGTGGGTCAACAACAGAAGATTGGTTGCCTCACTAGGATTATAAGAATCTTTTAAACACAGTGGTACCACAAATTAAAATGGAAATCTATCAAAACCATTATCGTCCTGAAAGATTTGGCCACAAGCATAATTATTGTAGAAGGATGTTGTCCTTGGATGCAGCTTTGGCTCTGTACAGCTAGTGTTATTTGTATCCCTCCATGGCTCAAAGTCAGAATTTGCATGGCTAAGGACCATAAATTTTTAGAGGAAAAATTAGGCTGTTTCCTTAATGCTAACACTAGCAGTTTTGTATTGTTTTGTAGTGGTTTGTAGGCAACTCATTAGGTACTAGAGATAGGAACAGACTGAATGTGGTGGCTGAAATTTGCCTTGAACCTTGGAAGGACTCGGATGGAGATTTCAGTCTGAATTTATTTGTTTGACTCTGAGGCTTTTTCTTTACTGGATGTGAACAAGAACGAGTGAAAGTCTGGAGCACTTGGGTTTAAATCTAGATCTGAAAGTCCACAGTTTGTATAGTAAAACAGTGAAGCAGATCTTGAGCTGATATCAGCTGCAGTTCACAGACTTGAATACAGCAGAAAACCTGTCCTGAGTTTTCTAGCATGTCTATGAAGCAGGCAGTTCCTGTAGGGATGAGAATGATTGAAAGAATATACAGTCACCTGGATGTTGCTTGCCATCAGCAAGGGACACATGTCCTTTACCCAGAGCTGCCTTCAGGAGAGGCACCAGGTTGCCTTCTCAAGGTCCTGATGAAGGCTGAATCCTGAAGTAACTCCATTCTTGTGTTGATGATAAACTACATTAAATCACAAGCACTGTCGGTTATTTTTAAACTGGTTATTTTTCTCTCGACATCTGATTTTCCATCTTGAGGGAGGTAAGTGACTAATAAGTCTGAAATCTATTTTTCCTCTTTCTCCATCGCTCAGGCTGGTATAGATGGAGAAAGCATTGGGAACTGCCCGTTCTCCCAGCGTCTCTTCATGATCTTGTGGCTCAAAGGAGTTGTGTTCAACGTCACCACTGTTGACCTGAAAAGGTAAAAATTGTTCAGTTTAATTGCAAATAGTTATATGATCCAGTGTTTGCCCTATAGAAAGACCTCACCAAGCTCAGTCAGATTTGTATCTAGCCTAGAGAGTCTGTGGTGCACAACAAAATAGTTGGGATTCATTTTTTTTTTTTTTTTTTTTTCACTTGTGGAATGTTTTTATATTAAACAAGGTGCTTGGGGTAGTTTCAAAGTCTTCTAACCACAAACTAAAGGAAAAAAAAACCACAGAAGAGCAAACTGATTTTGTAGAAAGTATAAATATCTGTGCAACTACCTTGACCATAAAGATTAGTGATTTCATGGCTTTTTCTCTCTCTGCAGAAAGCCAGCTGACCTACACAATTTGGCTCCTGGGACTCACCCACCTTTCTTGACTTTTAATGGAGAAGTCAAGACAGATGTTAACAAGATTGAGGAATTCTTGGAAGAGACTCTTGCACCTCCAAAGTAAGAACTTGGGATTTTTTCAGTCAATATTCCATTTCCTAGGAATGAAAGATGTCCTAAGAGGAGTTCCTAAAAAGCACTCCCTCCTACAATCTTTACTTACAGGAGTAATATTTATTTATGAAACTTGCTGGCTTCAGTGAGATGACTTCCATGTGTGAAGGTTACTCTTATGACTAATAACTGCAGAATGTTTTCTCTGTACACATTTCAGGATGCCCTTGTATGCAGAATTAAGGAGACCAATACTAGAAAAATTTTGTAGGGGTCTGGTGTCCACATTTTACAAAACTAAAAATAACTTGGAATAGATGCTGAGAATTGCCACAAAAAATATCTGTGCCAGGAAAAGCATTTTACAGCAAAAAACTGGAGGTTTCTGAGCTGTATGGTGTATTAGAAAGGTTGGAAGGGAAACTGATTACAGAGTATGAGAGGCTTTGGAGTCAGAAAAGTGCTCATTATTCTAGTCAAGAAATGACAAGAGCCCATGACTGGGAGTTCTAACCAAACTAATTCAGATTAGAAATAAGGCACAGATTTTTTCAGTATGAATGATTAACCATTGGAACAAGCTACCAAGGAAGGGTTTAGATTTACCAGATATGCCTTACTTAGTAAAAAGTTTTGGACTTAATACAAGGATACTGGGAAAAAAAAATTATTGGTTTGTGATTTGGACCTTAAAATCTATGAATCAATGAAAAGTGGCTTGGTTCCTCATGGAGTGTTTTACCTCCAAGTGAATCAGCAGCTATAGTCCAGTCCTGAGGCAAGAGATCAGATATGTAAATTTTCTATACTCTGGTCCAAGACCACTGAAGTCAGTAGGAGTTGTTAGTTTGTGTTGGTCTTTCAAATCGATATATTCCTTTGCACCAGATGTCTATAAAAAACAATTCAGAGACTGAAAACTTTATGTTCCTTCACCTGGGTAATACTAACATGCCTTATTATTACATCCTGGAGTACTTTTTCAGCATAGGGAATTAGACACACTGCCATTCATAATAGAGAGAACTGGCTGCCGAAATCCCCTGCACCTTTCTGGAAATTTATGCTTCTTTCTTATTTAAGGCCACTGTATCTTGGATCAGTGTATTTGTAATCATCACTATGTTGCTGATAACAGGATGTTACTCTCCACACTGCTTCTCCCCTTTCAGGTACCCCAAGCTGGCTGCTAAGCACCGGGAATCAAATACTGCTGGAATTGATATCTTTTCAAAATTTTCTGCATACATCAAAAATACCAAGCAGCAGGATAATGCTGGTGAGTAGGATCATTACCAAATGTTCCAGGGAGTTTATGTGCTTAGAAGTGGAATAATTTTGCCATTTTCATATCGTTTTATTCTAAACTCTGTTCGCATGACATCAGGTACTGCTGCTGATCAGTTTGACATGGTCGTTTCGGTGGACTCAATTCACGTCTGCAGTTGAATTAACTACATCTATGCTAGTAAATAAAACAGGCCACTGAGTGTTTAGTAGCCCCTTTACTAAATGTCACGTCATGGCTCCTATCCATACAGCCCAGCTTCCTCACCAGAACAGGATCCCATACTGCTTACTGAAAGTGGTTGGTCACCATGTTACCTCCCCTACTTTACCCAGGCACTGCTTTAGAGGAGTGTGTGTTGACTGGACCCAAAACAATGCTAGTACTAAAAATTTAGCAGTAAATGACTGGGTGAGAGCAACTTGTGCCCTGACCCTTCATAATTTGTTAAAAGTGGCCATCAGACACTTGGTCCACTTACCTCATGATTATATTATGCTGTTATGGCTAATTTGCTCATATAAACTGAGTTGTATCCAGACATTAAATTTAAAGTAATTAAATGAAATAAGTGACTTTAAGAAATGTAATTGCACTCTGTAAGGGCCAGATTTTTCCTCACATGTTTGTGTGTCAAAAGAAATAACCCCCCCAGAAGCTGGATGCCATGCATATTTACATGCATCCTACACTGTTTTCTTAATCAAATTGCTTTTTTTCTCCACATTCCTTTCCCCTCAAAGAGGCAAGACTACAGCTGGTCTAAGTTCCAGTTTCTCCATGAAAGCTAATGGATTTACACTGCCATATCTCTTGAGATGATCTGGTACAATATTTGCAGTCACTCACTGATGTACATCTTACCTTATATTACTAGTTTCACAGACAGAGACCCAAGGCATGTTAAACACCATGCATTCATATCATACCATTCAGAGAAGACTAGATTTTTTCAGGTTCCAGCTCTGCCATAGATTTCATCTATGTGATTATATTTCATTGCCTGGGGCTGACCCATGAGATGAAAATGGGTAAATGATGATTTATGTTAGATAGCAATCTGCTCCTTAATATTTTTGCATTGTTAACAGAAGGAAATAATTATAGTGCTTTACTTCTCAGGGATGCTAAAAAGTTATTTTTTTTGTCTAATGCTAATGGGATGCTCAGATAACCTCTGTAAGAAGCTGTTAAAGGAAGATAAATTAAGAGTTAGATAAAATAGATGTTGCAGTGAAAATAAAATATCTTGGCTGTTTACAAGGAATTTTTATGGTCTGCTCTGCAACTGTAAATCTTAAATTCAGCTGTGCTGCCCCTTGCACTCTAGAACAGCCATGGATATCTGTCCACATGCATAATCCCAACATGTCACTTTTCAGTTACTGCAATATGCAAATCCCCAAACTCCTAAGGGCTGGCAGCTCCAGCCAGTAATAAATGGCTGTCCTAAAGGTGTCTGCATATGGCCATAACAAGAGCTGGAACTTAGTGTCAGATATCCGCTACTGTGAGATAATGAATCTAACCCTGCAAAGTGCTCATGGTCAGGTCTCCATATTTTTACTAGCTGCAGTGTGATTAATGGGAGATTTCCCTAGTTCTGCCTAACAAATTCTTGGTTTAGGTACTCTTGAGAATAAAAGGAAAACGCTTCCCAATGGTCATTAAGCACACCAAGGTCATAGATAAAAGAGATGTTAAGCTGCAAGAGAGCAACAATCTTTGTTCCCTGCAAGCATCCTCACTCCATTTTGTTAGCTGGTTCGTGCTCTTGTGATATCCAGACAGATTGCAATCTCTGAACATACCAATACTTAACTTTCCTCTTTGAAGTAAAGAAAAGTTTTTAGCTTAATTTTTTACAGCTGGAGTGCTGCAGTGCAAGGAGAATAAAGTAGTGACAAGCAGAGTATAAGTAATACTTTGTTCTTTCTATCAAAGGAGTAAAGTACCTGAGGAGCTCAGAGTCTTTGGGCCTACCAGTGCAGACTTACGCCACGCAGGAAGTAGACCTCAATTTCAGCAGTACAAGTGACTTCCAGTCTTCAAGGGCTAAGCAAGAATAGCTTTTCCCTTATCCCAGGGACATTTTACCCACTTTCCTATCCAGTTCATCTGAACCAACAGCAGTTATTCTGAAGGCTAATTTTGATGGCAGATGATGATTTAATTAAAAGGTATTTGTGTCAGATTTCTTGAGCAGTGAAGACTATGTGCAAAAAGGAAAGTCCAGCACCACTTCATACATATTTCCTAATTAACCTATTTCTTTTTTAATTCATAATTTTAAAAATTGCAACACCAATCACAAAGGGATCTGGGGCTCTAGTCCTGATCTGTTACATGTAGTTTTGCAGCAAGTTCTAATGCATTATCTTTCCTATATGACAGCAGAAGCAGTTATATATAGTTCTGTAATAATAAAAATAATTTTATAAACATAAAATGTAATTAATTAGGAGAACGTCTCTTTCTCTCTTTCCATATGCACAGGTGAGATCAAAAAAGGACAGAGATTGCTGTTTTATAGAATCACAGAATCATAGAATTGTTTGGGTTGTAAGGGACCTTAAAGATCACCCAGTTCCAACCCCCCTGACACGGGCAGGGACACTTTCCACTAGACCAGGTTGCTCAAAGCCCCATCCAACCTGGCCTTGAACCCTTCCAGGGAGGGGGCAGCCACAGCTGCTCTGGGCACCCTGGGCCAATGTCTCATCACCCTCTCAGTAAAGAATTTCTTCCTTATATCTAGTCTGAATCTACCCTCTTTTAGTTTAAAACCATTGTCCTTTTTCTATCACTACGTGCCCTTGTAAAAAGTCTGTCCACATCTTATAAGCCCCCCTTTAAGCCCTGGGAGGCCACTCCAAGGTCTCCCCAGAGCCTTCTCTTCTCCGGGCTGAACCCCCCCAACTCTCTCAGCCCGGCCTCCCAGGGGAGCTGCTCCAGCCCCCCCAGCATCTTCGTGGCCTCCTCTGGCCCTGCTTGAGCAGCTCCATGTCCTTCTGCTGTTGGGGGCCCCCGAGCTGGACCCACAACTGCAGGGGGGTGTCATGAGAATGGAACAGAGGGGGAGAATCCCCTCTCTTGGCCTGCTGTCCATACTTCTTTTGATGCAGCCCAGGATACAGTTGGCTTTCTGGGCTGCAAGCACACATTGCTGGCTCATAGTGAAGATTTCATCCACTAATACCCCCAAGTCCTTCTTTGCAGGGCTGTTCTCAATCCACTCCTTGCCCAGCCTGGATTTGTTCTTGGGATTGCCCCCACTCATGTGGAGGACCTTGCACTTAGCCCTGTTGAACTTCATGAGGTTTGCACAGGCCCACTTCTCCAGCCTGTCCAGGTCCCTCTGGATGCTGTCCCTTCCCTCTAGCATGTCACTGCACCACGTAGCTTGGTGTCATCAGGAAACTTGATTGAGTGCACTCAATCCCACTGTCCATGTCTCCAACAAAGATGTTAAACAGTGTCAGTCCCAACACTGACCCCTGAGGAATGCCACTCATCACTGCTCTCCACTCAGACATTGAGCCATTGACTGCAACTCTCTGAGTGTGACCATCCAGCCAATTCCTTATCCACCAAATGGTCCATCCATCAAACCCATGGCTCTCCAATTTAGAGACAAGGATGTCGTGTAGGACAGTGTCAATTACTTTACACAAATCCAGGTAGGTGATGTCAGTTGCTCTTCCCTTATCCACCAAATCTGTAACCCTGTCGTAGAAGGCCACGAAATTTGTCAGGCACAAATTGCTCTTAGTGACGGCATGCTGGCCATTACAATCAACTCCTTATTTTCCATGTGTCTTAGTTTCCAGGAGGATCCATTTCATGATCTTGCTGAGCACAGAGGTGAGACTGACTGGCCTGTAGTTTCCAGGGTCTTCCTTTTTTCCCTTTTAAAAATGGGGGCTATGTTTCCCCTTTTCCAGTCAGTAGGAACTTCACTGGACTGCCACAACTTCTCAAATATGATGGATAGCGGCTTAGCCACTTCATCTGTCAATTCCCTCAGGACCTGTGGATACATCTCATCAGGTCCCATGGACTTGTGCACCTTCAGGTTCCTTAGATGGTCTTGAACCTGATCTTCTACAGTGGTTGGTTCTTCATTGTCCTAGTTCCTGTCCTTGTCTTCTGCATATTGAATGGTGTGGCTTGAGCCCTTGGCGGTGAAGACTGGGACAAAAAAGTCGTTGAGTCCCTCAGTCTTCTCCATATCCTGGGTAACCAGGTCTCCCATTTCCTTCTGGAGAGAGCCCACATATTCCCTAGTTTTCCTTCTATCAATGATGTACCTATAGAAGCTTTTCTTGTTGCCCTTGTTTATGTTTATCTTAAATGGTTCCTGTACACCCCAGCTCTCAGATAAAGGCAATACATTTTTTCACAGTCATCCTCTGTATCAGCTCCTACCTATGGCTGACTCAAACTCTTGGCTTAATCTGGAAAGTCACACCAGTGACTGGGACATCAGTTGCACATGATCAAAATACACAAATTGAAAAAGACTTGTTAATAAGCTGAAATAGAATGAAGAACCCAGACTGTTATATAAAAATAATTTTAATTTATTTTATTTGGGCATAGGGGAGTGCTGGATACCAAGTAAGCTAAAACATCAAACATCAGGTTGTTTAAATTGTGTTCCCTTAACTTGGGAGTCAGGTAGTTGAATTCATTAATGCATGGGATATCAGGCTGGAAGTTTGTAGCATCAGCCTATATCTAGCTATGAGAAGTGTGGGTTAGGTGTAATTATATATGATCATTCTTCATAGCATACTGTTTTAGCAGAGATCATGCGGTCTATGTAACATGAGCTCTCACTACAGCCTGTGGCTATTACATCTTTGCAGGAAAGTGGCGTGAAGTGGTTGAGATAGTTAATAAGATTTATGCAGTATATGCAGTATGAGGATAATGGATGTAAGAAATAATGAGAACCTAATGCACACTAAAGATAAGCCCAGGCTGATGTTCCTCACAGGAGGGCTTACAGCCAGTGTCATGCAACAATTTCAGACTTCAAGTGATGCCATCACTTGGCTACATCAGTACAATATTTCCAATCCTGAGAGAGGTGGTGAGGTGGTACTGATAGCAGACTCTGTAGCCTTTAAGTAGCTAAATGATTATTTTTTTTTTTTCTGATAATAGTTACTGAAGAAAAAAAGATTTGTATTTTTTCGGTTTAGTGTGTGTCTGAATTCTTACACGTAAATGAATAGACACAATGATACATGTCTGTTTGTTTCTAAGATTGTGATACCCTCTGCTGGCAAATATGTGAATATATAAAGCAGGCAGCTTTGTAATCAGGGCTGAAACAACCCCTTAACAAAATAAGTTTTCTTCTATCAAGACAGTTTCCTCTCACAGATGCAACATCATCAGAAGAGAAGAGTTTCATAGTAGCCTATCGATTTTGACAAAGTTTTAATTGAAAAAATAATGTTTTTTCTGGATGCGTTGAAGTTACTTTGAAGTAAAATGCATTAACATTATGGAGAAAAATAGTACTTTTTTTCTGGATTCATGCAGTACTTCATCAGCCACACACCGTTATGTTTTATGCCTGGCACAGAAGCAGGTGATAACCTTCTTCTGTAAGTCTGTATGGCAATATGTTATTGATCATGATTCATTTACTTACCAAAGGTATTTGGCAGCTAGGCTGCCCTGATTTAATAGTTCCCTGAATTTCTGATTCTTTTTTTCCATCTTTGTTTTCCTAACTTTTCTGTCTTATAATATAAAAACGTTGAAAGGTTTGGAACAGGCTGGCGAGGGCTGTAAGCCCAGAAGCAAACATGCTGATGCCATATCAAAGTTCCACCACTTTTAAGCTTCTTGAAAGAGAAGGAATTGATTCCAGATTCTCAGGATGTGGCAAGCTGTGTTTAAAGAAAGTGTGTGCATTTATTATTTCAAGTCACTTCAATTACAACGGGCTTGATTCCTTCCACCCCCTGTGTCACTCGATAATTTTATAACAGGCCTCTCCGAAGGAGTGATATCTCCTCATTGTGGGATTAGATCCGTGCCTCGCTTTGGTAGCACAGCCGGGTTATTCAGTTCTCCAGCCTTTGCCACCAGGCTTCACTGCTCATACTTGAAACAACAAGTGCTTGTTCACACAAGAACAGGAGTCCTTCGGAGAGTTTAGTGGCAGTAGTCTTAAAAATTATTTCCCGGGTTCTCTTGCTCAAGTTTTCATGGCAAATTCCGAGTCTTTGGTTGTTTAGTGATTGTTTAATATCTAGAAGGAGATCTTGTCTGAGCACAGGAAAGTAAACCAAGATCTTGTGAGTTTACTTTAGTTCCTTTGGTTGATGCTGAGCAAGTCACTCAAGCTCTATACAGTAACCAGGGTAGCAACAACTTATGTATTCATTGGAGGAGGATGAAATTTAATTAATTGCAATGTTATGTACATATTTGCTATCCTGCTTATTAGTTTTTTTTGTGAGACTGTATACTGTGAACCAAGGGGACAACCTATAGTAGCCACCCATTAACTGTCCCGCCTTAAAATTGTAAGTTTTTGGCTCACAGAATGAACCCTTTGATTTCATTTATGAGTTTAAAAAGTTGTTCTTGAATTGAGTTCTTAGGGGGTACCAGCTCCAGTGTGGGTGGGCGCATTCATTAGTGGTATGGAAGGATATTTCACTGTACGGCTCTTCAGAAGGCTCTGAGCTGGGAGACCACCAACAGGATTTCATGCAGAGGAATTTCCAGCCGTCTGACCAGAGGACTCCACTTGTCTGGTTTGGATTTACATCAAGAGTCCAAAAATAAAAGCGCATTTAAATCATTAACTTACATGTGATTAAATGCCGTTCACCTCTTTCGGTAGCTACATCACACTTTGTGGTTAAGTGCGTGATGTGGGAAGTTGTCTCTGTGTGCTGTGGATGTATGTGTACAGCAGATATGCACACACACATATAGGGCTGGATATAGGAACTGGCCAACATCAGTTTTATGCTGTGGAGTTACTCCTGCTAAGAAAAGAGTCAGACCCATAGCATAGGTACATGCACAGGCTGAATGGTGTGCTCTGATCCTTCCTAGAAGCCATCCCATGCCTCCTTAAATAAGCAGAAAATCAGTTCACTCCAAAACCCTGCGTAAAATATTTACAGTAATAACAGCTCTGTGGTGCAGACCCTTTGTGGCACCTGAGCTGATGTAAGTAGCTGGGGTAGGAGCTTCTTGATGTTGTGGGTCAGCCTGTGTCATCCTGACAAGAGCAGTCTGGTCTGATCTCCAGCAGCAGGTCAGTGTAGGAGAACAAAGCATCTGTCCCCAAAGCATCCCCACGCATGGTGGGAAGGGCTGAGGGTCACCTCTCTGCCTTCCAGCCTGGCTTCTCACATCCAGAAGGGTCAGATTGTAATTATAAATGTGGTACAGCTTGTCCTGAGTCTTTAATCCTTCAGGCCTATTCTGTGCCTAAAGTCTTCGCCCCGTGCTCAGCAAAGTTCCTGGCAAAGATCCTCTTGACTTTGACAGAGCAAGTTTAAAAAGCTGTTTGAATATCCTGGTATTGATGGGGAGTTTCCTGTGACAGGCATCTTGGATCAGGCTCTAATTCATGACAAACATTAATGCTTTATAGCTTCTGCACAGATTTTCAAGGTGCCATGTAAATATATAGGTATAAATATATATGTGTGTGAGATGTCTTTGTATCTACTTGCCATTAAATTTTTTCCTTCTTCCTCTTTAGTCGCAGGAATTCCATTTTCCACTACAAAACCCCACACCTGTCCAAGGCCCAGCATGAGTCACAATTTGTCCTATGCTGTGATGATATTAAGTTTTCTTTGTCGTGCAACCAGGAAGGACTAGAAATAGCTTTAAAAATTATTTTAGAGAAAAGGACTTGCTTTGTGATGGAACATAGCAGGGTGACAGATCTTTAACTTTGGCATTTTGAAGCACAAAAAAAAAGCTATTTCAGAACATTTTAAACAAGTTTTTATGGCTCCCTCTGAGCTGAATACTGTTGGGCTCGTGGTAGCTAAAGTGCCTGGCAGCTTTACAAAACCAGTTTTAATATAAAAAATACCCAGTCTTTAAAACATATGTAAAATAGCTTTTCTGCAACATTTGTGGCACATAAAGTACCAAATACATGTTGGTGAGTGTGATATAAAGCTTTTATTGCCATTCATTTGGGATGACCCATATAACTCACTCATGATATGTTAATAAAACTGTTCTCCATTCTGTCTCTTTATAAAAACACACATAAAAGACCACTAAAACGGTGGTGATAGCTGTGTGCTAACTTGTTAAGTAGTGGCGCAAGTTGCATTTATCATCTGTCCTAAATTGCTGTATCTGCTTTCTGCCCAGTAATCAAAGACTGATTCTAAAATGCTCAGAAACAGAAGTTTGCAAAATAAGTTTGCTTGAGAAATAACTCTTTGAAAGTTCTCCTCAAAATCATGCTGGCTGGAGGCCCAGAGCCATCAATATTCTGCCTGGTACCAGTGACAGCTTTAAGGACCACTATCTTTTGACCTGCCAAAACTAAGAACTGAAATTTTACGCCATTGGAAGGAAGAGGTTTTCAGTTTTCTAAAATGATAACAAACTGTCATCTTAATCTCAGAGATACGTACCTTACTAGGAAATGTTCCTGAACTTTTCTATAATTTAGAGTTTTTCCTTCTTCTAAGACATTGCTAATTAAGGTGTGAAGATTTCCTCATGGAAATGTGAAAAATACTATTTGAAAAAAAAAACAAACAAAACTCTGTGTAAGTCTGGATGTGTTCAGACTGCAAGCCCTCCAAGGCAGGGACTTGGTACGCCTGATTAACAGTCTGAGATGCAGCCATTCTGGGAACAGTAAATATTTACAATTAATGTACTAGCAGACATAATTTTATGACACATCTGTGCTGAAGTTGCTCTGAAGCCTTAGCATACCATAGGGAGATAGAGGAAAAAATTAAAGAATATATATATTTATACAAATTCAAGACACAGAATAAGCAAACCCCTAAAAACCAGTTGACAATATATACTGAGGGCAATGAGGTTAATAATATACTCAGATTAAGGCATGTTCTCAAGCCTTTGCTGAATCAGAGCCTATATGCACAGGCCAGGCCTAGACTAAAATACTTACAATGGGAACAGTAGTTGGCAAGCGCTCTTCTTTAAGAGGGAATTATTTCCCCTGTGTGTTTGAATATTCCTCCAAGTGCTGCTGGCTTTACTGGGATGCTTTGTTCTGTTTCCCAGCTGAGCTCCCATGCTCACACACAGGAGCAGTAGCACAGCTGGAAGTGGATTAGAGCAATCTGGCAGCAGCAGTCCTGGGAGGAATTAAGCGCCTCGCTGCTGGAATGGGAGATCTAAATTACATTATTATTTAGAATTGAGTTTTAACTTCATTGCTCTATGGTTTCGCACTGGTGGGTAACTCCCCTCATTGCAATGTACTTGGTGCATCTTAAGTATGTTCCCCACAGCAAGGACTTAGATGAAGTTATGGCCTTACTCAGTAAAGTGACCAAATATTATATAAGCAAATGTCCAAATTTAAACACTCAGCTGGTCTTATTGCCCCGAGAGGATTGTTCACAGGCTTATATTTAGCAATTGTAGAGCAAGCTATCACATGATAGAGAGCCCAGTGACTGGCTCCTGAAAGTCAGTTTGCAAAACTGTTGATGACTTCAAAGGGAGAAGGGTTGGCCCAGAATCTGTCTTTCCCAAAACAGATTTTTTCTTTTATGCATGCAAATGTTCTTCATAAAACAACAGGGAAGAGAAGAATGAGACATAAATGAAAATCGATGCTGCTAATTTTCTTTATTAGATCAGATTGTAAATAGTTGACCTTTAGCTTGTAAACAGTGCTGGGAATAAGGTGACTAAATGGGAATTGGAGGCGCATAGTTCTTCTGATTGAAGAAAAAAAATCAGAATTTCATGGAGTTTGAGGCTAGATGGACCTTTCAATTATTTATATGCTCTCCTGCAAATCACACCCCAGTCAGTTTTGCCCATTGAGCAAACATGTTGGTATTTCATCCTTTAGTATAGAATTTTTCCATCGGAGCAGAGAACAGGAGAAACTGAAGTGTCTTTGGTGCACAATGCCCCTCTAAGGGGGGAATTTACTGGTTGAGAGGTGCCTGGCAGATGGCAATAGCTGATCCGTATTCTGAACTGCAGGGAAAGGTGAATCCCTGGTGCTTCTGACAGTCAAAGCTGAAAAACAAATATTTCCTGGACCTTCACCTGGAATCAGGACAACACCGAACAAGTGAAGAAGGCATCTACTCAGCAAGACTTTCTGCACCTCTCCAAAGCATTGGTCCAGCCATTGCCATCTCTATCAATGACTTGACAGCCATGGATAAGCCCTGTAATGCATCCGATTAACTGCATATTGAGAGAAAAGATATAGTGATATTTTCAAGCATTTTAAGTCTTGAAGCATGAGATTTAATTACAGTCATTGTCTTAATTCTGAGTAGCAAATTCTCTGTCACATTGGTGGTGGCACAGTCAACCTACCTCAGTCGTTGTTCCAAGACCTAGAAGGTTATATGAGGGATTTTAAAGTTCCATGACC